TATATTAAAATTAAAAATATATATATATTAAAAAACAATAATTATAATTTTAATAAAATGTAAGACAGTTAAAATTACCTGTTATACATTTCCCACAATTTAGATTTTGTTCGTATGTCCCAAATACAAACAAGACCTTCATCGCCACCAGTAACAATATGATAATTATCCATTTCAACACAAGATACTCCATATGAATGGGCACTTATACTGATCTCAGGATGAAGTGTTCTCAAATCAAATACTCTTACTCTGAAATTATTAAATTTAAACTCAAAATAGGATTAAGAAATAATTAATGTTTATATTTATAATATGTAATCAATAACAATCGAATGAAGAAAATAGCTTAAAAGAAACAGCAAAACTTTAATATTAAACTTTAGAAGTTAATTTTAACTTTAGTGTCTTCTGTTAAAATAGAAATAATTACAGAAAAATAGATTAGACATTTACTGTCAGCTTATTATCAATTATTTTATTGCACATTTGCAAAAAGTTAACATGGAAAAAGTGCTTTGAATAGCTAGAGAATTCACAACTTATATAGTTGAAATTATATGAAAATCTGTTTCATATAATTCTAGTTTCATTACACAGATTCATTATAGATATATCTCATTAAAAAAGATCTGTTTTTGTTTTAATGTATAAAGTAATTTAACATGATGTATGATAATAAATGTATAAAAAATATACAAAGTATTATTTTTACATTCTGATTATACCGTACACACTTGAATAGACCAATTGTGGTCTTTTTTTCAAAAATCCATTGGGGTATAGATTTACTCAAGCTTGTAGATATTATATATGCAAAAAATTAAGACTAACGCTACTACATTGTTATCTGATATTAGTTATCCAATTTTAATATCAGGCTTTCTTCAAGAAAAAGAATATAATTATCACTAAAGCTAATGCTTTTGATATTCAACTAGCATTATAATGCATTTCATTAATTGATGGTATTCAGTATTCAGTTACAAGTTTTCAAAAAATTAATAACAATAGTATTTGACCAGCAGAAACACTAGCATAACTTTTTTTTTTTTTTTAACTCTTTCTGCCCTGTGGGCACTAAGAGGGCCTCTTTTTGCAAGCCCATTATGGGTTCGGCCAGGCCCACAATGGGGCTGCCGGGTAGTGAGGGACGGGACACATCTGAACGGACCACCCCCCCTGAAAAATTCCTGAGGATTTTTCAACCTGTTAAGATTCAAGCCTGGGTCCCCCAGAGTAGTAGGCTGCCACCTTGACCGCTCAGCCATCCGGCCACTACACTAGCATAACTATTGAAAAACAACTCAAAAAGCAAAAGAAATGTTAACTGATGTTAAATAAAGATTCATAACACGATCAAAGATGTGATGTCAAATGCCAATACCTGAAACATAAATACATTTGACGTCTTTAAAACTAATAAATTCAAGATAACAGCAAATAATTTAACTGCAAATCTGCAATTTTTGTCTGTACGAAGTTATCATTGCTAATATGTGATACAAAGTTTGTGATACATGGACATTTTGGGGAAGTTAACATTAGCAGCAAATGATTTACAAAACCATCTAATGTTTGCTTATGCACTTGCAGAAAAGAAACATTAAATTAATCACAAATTATAACAAATATTGATGATTACAATTTCTCAATCTTTGAAAATTAATAATTTGGTTTCAATTACATTCTTTTTATATCTTTTCTAATAATTACTAGACTTGGCTTCAATTATGATTATTTTTAGAACTAATTTTTACATTCTGCACAACTTTCTTTCCAATTTCCTTTTGTAAAGTTTTGAAAATTTCCAATTTTTCTCCAGAATCACTAGACAAATGTTAACTAAAGGCATCATATACATAAGAAGACACATTAAATAAATCTGCTAAATATGAAATTAAAGATAAATAATAATAATAATAATAATCTCTATCAAACTAAAACCATATAAGACAAACAAAAATTTAAGAAGTTTGATTATTTTTATCCAATGCATATAATAATTATTAACACAACTTTTTAGTTTTTAAACATTTCAACTTCAAACAACAAATTTTTTCAAGAAATTGGTAATTTTGAAGACCAAGTATATAAAAGAATATATAGTAATCAACGATGCTTATAGTGTAATCTAAATATATAAAATTACTTGTCATGGCTGACTGACTGATTCATCATTGCCCAGAGCAAACCACTGAACCTAGAGGTGAAATTTTGTACACAGTTAGGGTACGTCATGAAAACGCACACTAAGAAGGGATTTTTCGAAATTCCCCTGCAGGGGGAGAGGGAAAGGATTAAGGCTTAACCTGCAGAATGGCTTCTACTGTACTATTTTAGATGTGATTTTGTTTTCAACTACGTTTAGTCTTCATTGCATTCTTAGGTGTATTAAATTGATAACATTTCAGATATTGTTATAAATATTTTTATATATTTTGATTTTTTAACCAAATGTTCGAACCATTTTAAATTTGAATTTGTTATTGCATATTGGTTCAATTATAGAATGATTGTAAACATTCCAGAAAATTGATCAAATTGAAAACAGTTTGTTTGATTCTAAGCAATTCTCATCATTCTCAGCGGTAGGTGTTATATAACAATTACTATGGTTGTTGAAATACTGAATATAAATGAAATACTGAATATAATTTCTTGCAAAACCCCTGTGGGCAAAGTTGCGGGTAACTGCTAGTGTTATATATACTGGAGGATGAGATTGGACCGGAGGTCTGGGTAGTGTAATTGGCAATGCATCTGCACAGTAAACGGGAGTTGTGGGTTTGAGTCCCATTCTGGGCCGATTCTTTTCTTCCAGTAGTTCTAAAGTATTTAAATTATTTAATTAAAAATTATAATTATTAAATTTATTAAGAGATGGCACCTAACACCTCCCTCTAGTATCAAATTATTTGGTAATTGATTAATATTATAGCCGTTATTAGCCCAATAACATATGGCAGTGGTTGGCTTTGGTATTACACAAGGTATCAGGTTTAGTAGAGTTGTTTGTTTATATATACAAGAAGACTACACACACAGAAGACACAAACACAAACAATAATAAAAATTATAAGATATTTATTACTTTGTAAATTTTTCTTATAAACTTCTTGAAGGTTTGTTGTTTTGAAGTTAAAAAATTTAATATATAAGAGAAATTGTAAAAAAAAATTTTTTAATATTCTACTAGTTTTATATGTAGATTCAGTGATTCATCTGATACAGAGATATTTTAAAATTTTGAATAACTGATATTACAGAAATATATAAGATCAATTAATTTATTAAGTACTTGTAATGTTAATAAAAAATAAGTAAATAAAACTATAATTACAGAATTTAAATAATAAAATAACTCTTAAGAAGTTTAGCTTTTGTTTACAAAAATATTTAAGATACAAAAATGTTTGTCAATAAAACTTATTAGATCATTAATTAAAATAATTTAATTACTACTTTGACCAATAAATGTAGACATCTAATACTATTTATAACAGAAAAATATAATAATAATTTTTACTAAATTTAGAAATATAGCCTTTATATTTTATTTAAATATAGAATTTCTATTATATTTTCCTATTAGAAATGATTAAAATCTTAAATAATTACTAACTTATAATCAGTATAAAATTGGCTTATTATAATACTATAATCTGAGAAATCAAACAATTGCCATAATGAATTGGACTACCTTACCACTACTATTAATAATTAAATTATAAGTAATTTGATACTGAGGTAGACAATAGTGCCATCTCTTATTAAATTAAATAATTATAATTAAATTAATATTTTACTAAATAATTTAGAATATTCTGAAAGAAAAGAATCGACCTGAAGCGGGGTCTAGACCCACAACTCCCACTTACCATGCAGATGCATTGCCAGTCTTCCAGAATATTCTAAATCATTTAGTAAAATATTAATTTAATTATAATTATTAACTTTAATAAGAGATGGAACCTAATGCCTACCACTCATACCAAATTATTTACAATTTAATTATTAATAGAAACAGTAAAGTAGTCCAATTCATTACAGCGCTCGTTTGGCTGATTATTAAAAACATTGAGCTATAATATATGAAACTATAATACATATATAAACATTTCAATGTTTATATATGTATTATAGTTTCATAGTTAAAAATTATAAGATAGAAAAAACCTATAGTTATCTTACAAATTTTTTAAATATAAATATTCAACTTGAGAAACAAAATTAAAGTTTAAAATATGTTTACATACTTATAAAATATTTCAGAAAATTAAAAACAAAAATCTATATATCAGGTCAATCACTACTGTCAAATTTATATAGAAATTCAACCTCTTATCTCTACATCCAGTTGCAATAAGATTATCTGGACTTTTCCTAAGGTTTAAACTTAAAATTTGACCAAGATGATCAGAAAGTATTCCAAATAATCTTCCATTGTCTGTAGTGAAAAGTGATACCTGAATAGAAATGATTTACATATTATATAAACATAGCAACATAATTTAATTTGTACTAATAATGACATAAATAACAGAATAAATTTATAATACAATCAAAAATTTATTTCTACAGAATGAAATAAAATAGTAAAGATCAAAATTAAATCACAAGTAAAAGATTTATTGAAATAATAATAATCCACTAATTATTGCAGTATTTTGAAAAATATATGGGCTGTTTCAGACCTTACATGAAATTCTTAACACCATTTGTTTCTAATTTACTCAAACATTTTATTTGAATTTTATCAGTTATATAAATTCTCACACAATAAATTCTCATTTATCATCATCAATAAGTTCTTGGAAACTGTGATGTTAAGTGAACAAATATAACAAAACCAATTTTATCATAGTGTAAACATGATATAAACAAGTTATAATTCAGTTAATGTTAATCTAATTAGATTGTGATTGCAACCACCAGCATTTATTTCTTACCTCATAGAATCTATTTTACTGTTTATGAAGAAATTCAACAGTGATAATTGTAAATTTACTTCTATATATCCTCAAGGAAATTGTAACAAAACAACATTAAATGAAATAACATTAGGTGAAGACTTCCTGTACATAATGAAAATCAACTCAATTACAAACTTTAATCTGTATTAACATTTGATATGAACAGAAAATTTAAATTGCTGATAATCAAAAAATAGTTATTTATTAGTTAAATGCATATTTTTATAAAATATTTTATAAAAATGAGAAATACTGAGTCACTCAATAATTAGTTTTATCTATTTTGATGTATATTAGATCAAACCATTAAATTTTGAGAGACTAACTTTATCAATTGAATAGATATATAAAAATGTAAAAAATGATATTTCTGGACCTTCAGATAATCATTAAACATAATTATTACATTGTTTCATTGAATGAATTTTAAATAAGCTAATTAATATTTAAGTTTCTATAGTTAATATTATGCTTTTATATGAACAAATATGAGCCAAAGTTAATTAAAATTAATTTATATTTTAAGATTTTTAAATTTGAAACAAGTAATTATTTATTGTGACATCATCACAATACTGGGCTGCAATTTTTTATCATATTTCTAATTTATTTAATTTAAAATATATACTCTCCACATCAAATTAGCAGTGGCTTGCCCCTGTATATCATTCTTCTCATTTAACAATAGAGTTGTGCCTTTTAGGGAAAAAGTTTTGAATTGAAATAATGTGACTTCCAGTTTGCATCAGAAGTTTGTGTATAGTTAATTGGGACCTCTTGTCCCTAAGGTTTCCATATCTGGTTGCAGATTCCATCTATCTAACTCTGTTCTTGAGATTAAGGGTGTACAGTTTAAAGGTCTACAATTTTTTCAAATTGCAGCCCAACAAAATCAATTGTCATATTCATTCTATGATAATGAGAAAAGATTTGTTTCTGCACCACACAGCTACAAAAAGAATTAGAGGGAATATTGGATATGACCTTCAGCCATAATATATTTTTTAAGGCCTTTATAAATTTTTTAAAATTATAAAATTTATAAAAGTTTAGCAATAGCAGACAAAATAACATTTATTATTTTGTCTGCTATTGCTATCTATATTTTGCTATAAATAAAATTTTTATGTAATTTTTATGTATACAATAAAATTTTTATGTCCAGTACACTTATTAAAATTATCAAAACTCATGAAATGATACAAGAAATATTTATTTTAGCTACAAAAAAAACATAATGTACTGCTATATTTTTTGAAAAACAGTTTTATTTCATTCATTATGTCTAAATTTTCCTTCTTTAAAAATAAATTATATTAAAACACTACTCTAACCAAAAACATCATTTAAATATTTAAACATAAATACCTGATAAATATTATATCCAGTACTACTTGTTAGACCAGCTGCAATTAAATCATTAGAAACATCTAAACATGACACAAAAGAACCTATTAAATGATGAATTATCAATGCCTCCTCATCTTCTGATTGATTAAGTTTTTGAAAATGAATAACATCATCACGTGATATAACAGCAGTTATAGCATATTCTGATGGTATAAAGCTCAAATAATTTACCTAAAAGATAATTTTTTTCAATTAGACTATTTACTGTAAGTAAAAATATGTAATACATAAATAATAAAATATTGTGTGTTTAATTTAAATGTAAAAATTCAAATATAATTTAATGTCATATTAAATGTTAAAAATAATTTTATATAAATTTACAACATAACAATTGTTATTTAATGTTAGTATTTCATATATTTCATCTTTAATTTACAAAATTCTTAGCACCATATTGTAAAAATAAAAATTCACACTTCTTTTTCAAGTAACCAAATGTTTTATTATATGTAAAAAATTTTTGGTCTTTCTGAATCAGATTCAATTACAGAAATTCTTGTAATCAAACCATTACAAGAATTTCTGTAACTGAAGCTAGCCTAAAATACAATTCTGTAAATACAGTGTGATTCACTCAAGATTGAACCCTTAGTGTATAGATTATATCTGTATAAGATGAACAAGAGACATGAATGGAATGATTTATTATATATTTGTCAACATGGGCATTAATCATTAACTGGACAATTATACTGGTGTTAAGCATTTACACAAGAATTGAGAAAACGTTCTTAGAGAAAACAGACTTTCTTTATTAATGCTTAACACCAGTATAATTGCCTGTTAATGATCAATGTCCATATTGACAAATATATAATAAATTGAATAAGGACAGTAAGGCAATAATAATTATGAATGGAATGATTCTTTATTTCATGATGAAGCATGTTGGTCAAGTGCTTCGTCATGAAATAAAGTTCAATGTGCTACATTTCTATCACATTTGAATAGAATGTAATTATGAAGTATTGAACAAAATCAGTATTCAATCCCAAGTGTAATCACCCTGTACAATATAAATATCACTAACATATGATTAAGTAGAATATTTAATTTTTGCAAAGACAAAAGAAAAATAGTAAACTTTACTCACAATTAAAAAAATATTTGCTTAGCAAATAAATTTTTAATTTTAATAGATACTATTAAATACAAATTATATTTTAACTGTACAGTTGTCTTTAACTTTTAGATATGAAATAAATATTTTTGTAACCTGAATTGTATTAATTATATAAATACTATATTTATGAAATTGTTATGTATATTAAATTGTGTTTATTATACTTTATTTATTTGTTTAATCTTTGATAAAACTATCTACACATTGTAATCATTAAACATTGCAAAAATTTATATTAATATTATTATATTATATCAAATCTTTATATATATAGCTCTGATATGAAACTGTAGGTAAAAGAAAATCATATTTACTTTTGTTGAATAGTTGTATAATTTTTGAAAATTACATATTCCACCAATGGTATTAATCATGATGCACTTGTTACTGCTACAAATTCCAACAGCATTAACAGAGCAATCCGTAACAACAGATGTTATTGGTAATGTTAAGTTATATGATTCAAGAAGAGATGAATTATTCTTGTTTGACAAAACATATGCTTGTCCTAAACAAAAATTTAATTTCAGTTAGAGAAACAGCAAAGTCATCTAAAAATAAAATTCTCAAATAAATTTCTATATATTTTTTCATGATAATAAATAATAATAACTGACATTTTTTGATTATATAAATGTAAATCCATAAAAATATGCAATCAATTTTATGAGCTGATTCATAACAATAACCACCTATCTCCAATGTCTTTATTGATTTTGTATACATCTGTCTAACTTTCAAATAACTGAAAATTTATTTTAAGAAATATCCTTATAAATTATTGCAAAAAAAAAAAGACAAACAATTTTCACTGATCATTACTCTACAGTAATTTTAAATTTTTAGTACATTAATGATACTAGAAAAACTTTTATTGTTGTTATAAAGAGAGCTTTATTTCATAATGTAAAACCTGTATAAAGTAGAACTGCACAATACTAAATTATTTTTCATTGTGGAAAATTCCTGCTTTGAAGAGGTTCTAGTTTTTTTTTTAATTATTATCTTTAAATTACACCAGATAAATGTCACACAATTAAGTTCATTTTCTATAGTAAAATCACTTTTACATATTATAAAAAAAAATTTTATTACTAGAATTAATCCAAACTAAAGATGAGAGTATTCAAATGCAAGAATTGAGAACTATTCAATTGCAAAAAGCTCTCATTGTCCTCAGACTTATTCTAGATATTTGAATACTTCTTTGATGAAGCTCTCATGATCTCATATAGCCAATTCAAATATAAAAACTAGTGTATTATTCTGTTGTCAGAAATTCTAATTGCATAACAGTAATACAGGAAATTCTTGTTAGTTTGAAATTCAGGAGACAAAATATTTGCAACTTCAAACTATCCTAAATTTACACATTTCTGTATATGCCAAATGTCATGTAACTGATGTAATTTATTAAGCAAACAGAATATGACTACTTATACAGAATGCTATTTTTGTTAATTAATAATATAAATAAACTGCAGGTAAACAGAACATGTGCAGTGTGAACCTCACAGGCTGCCAGATAGGTTTCATAAAAAGTATGGCAGAATTTCTTGAAATGTAGCCCAAATTATTTTTAAAGTGACCTAAAAAATAAATAACTACTCACCACACCGAATTAATGAAAATGATGCATTTGGAACCAAATTACAGTGTGATACAAAACCTGATGCAAAGTCCAGAAGGGGTTCGAAAATGTTCGTTTTTTTAAAAATGTTTTTTGTATCACATCATAATATGGTTCTACGTATGTCATGACCCAAAAAGTAGTAAGTCGCCCAAATATAATAGCCTAGAGCCCTCCAAATATCTCAATCTGCTACTTGTAACCCAATCTTACAATCTCAAAACCCAGCAACATATTTTATGAAATAAGAGAAAAATAAGATAGTCCTATATGTAAGATGATGCCCGAAAATGTGTTACTGTAAAAGCAAAGTCATCTATATATATAACCCATTCAATGGGTATCCGTCTGTTTGTCGCGTAACCGTTTGATAATGGACACTAGAGGCACCCCTATCGTGTGTCATATTTCAAACATTCAAATTAACAATTTTAATTCTTATTTAAATTAACAATATGAATTATTATTATTCATTTGGCCCATAAATTATTANCGTAACCGTTTGATAACGGACACTAGAGGCGCCCCTATCGTGTGTCATATTTCAAACATTCAAATTAACAATTTTAATTCTTATTTAAATTAACAATATGAATTATTATTATTCATTTGGCCAATAAATTATTATTTGGTCAATATAACAATATAAATAATTCAGTATATTTGTAATAGGAATTTATTATTTCAGGGGCTTATATCTCACGAAGGGTCGCGAGTAGGGGTATGGTTCCTTTGCCTTTATTGTTCGCACAGGGGACTACAGTTTGGGGGGGGTCGCCACCTCTTTACCTAATCTTACCATTGGGACTTTAACAGAGCTGTAGAGCATATTGACAGGAACAAAAAAGTCAAAGGAACCGTGCTTCATGGAAATTTGTAAACAACGCCCACTAGGGAGCGTCCCGGGCTACTAGTATTGAATAGATCAGAGTTGTTCTTGGTCTATTGTTCTCTTATAGCATGGAGACACTTCAATCTAAACAAATGAGTTAACATATGCATTTCACAGTTCAGACAGTATTTTCACTTAGAATTACAAAGTAGCCATATTTTGAACTAACCGAATCTCTTAAGATGTAAATCTCTATATCCCCATCAGAACAAATTACAGTTTTGAACTAATAGAATTTCAAATTATCCGAGTTTGAATTAATGAAGATTTCCTGTACAGAGACAAAGTTATTCTGTGATCTGGCTTCTCAAGGAATTTTAATATTTTAAATCTTTAATTAATTATTTACTTCAATCTGTGTAATTATCAACACATTAATTAAGTTGTTTTCAAATACCCAGTACTAATTAGTACTAACTATTCTGTGTAAAGCAAATTGTAAACACTGTGTTACCTTATTTTCATTATTATAAACAAATTACATTCAATGCTTGTTCTTATTAACTCAATTCTCAGAAACTTGATTCTTGGATCTATTCAATTCTGTCCTAGTTAATTCCAAAAATTACAATGTTTAATATTAACAAAAACTTTGGTCTGTATGTCCCCATATCAGGATATATTTGTTTCTCTGACAACATTCAAAATTGTTCTTGAAAGACAATTTGTCATGCTCTGAAATGAATGGTATACCTGGCCATCAAGAAGGGGGAGCTAGTTATTTTTCCAAGTCCAGAAAATACTTGTAGTCTATAGTGACTACTATCCCTATAAATTAATGTTTTTTACTAAGAAAATTAAAATATTTAAAAAAAGCTTCTTTATCAATAAAATGCAACATATTTCATTTCTTAAAAAAAAAAGCAAAAGAGAGCCCATTAATGGATAAAAGAAGCCCATTTAACCAGGTCCCATACAAGCACTTGAATGACCCTGACTGAAGGCAATTTTACTTATTTGCCTACAAGTGAAATTTTGAATTTCCTGTTTATCCAGGTTAAGTTACATTTGTAATATCCAAAAACTTTTTCTATTTACATATTGGGCAAGTTTCTGGCTTATAATAAACTTTAAAATAGAAAACTGCTCTATTCCAAAGAATTTTTTCTGTTTTAGACAGGTTTTACTGTATATAATTTATATCTTTTATTTTGTGCATTCTTTAATATTTGTTATGTGCTTTTGTTTTTATTGATAAGTTTGTCAATGAATTTTATTTTTAAAATGTTTTGCCTTTGAGGTACAAAATGTTTAATTCAGTTTAGTGATAAAATCAGTAAAATGAAATTAAACATATAAAAGATGGTCTGAAGATAGTTATTTAAATCAAGGTAAGATAATTCAAAATTAAAAATTAAATATAAAATATAGAAAGACATTATCTGATTCTTTTCAATACAGAGAAATGTATGAGCTTTCCTTATTGAAAATTTTGTAATGTTATATGTAGTAAATGACCAATTAAGGTGTATAAAATACCATAAATACTTTATTAAAATAAAAATCTTCCTGACAAGAATCTAAATTATTTAACATTGTCTTAAACCTAAAAAGAACAATAATTATTCTTAAATTTATATTATACAATCAACATCTGTCATACATGGCAACACAAAACCTTCAATATTACATTTCATTCATTTCATTAGATAGGCTAAAATATATGTAGCTTAATATGATATTATAGTTACTAATAGTCAATGTACAATAGCTAATTAAAATTTAAAACTGCCTTACCTTGTTCATAGCCAATGACTGCAATATCTGATGATATAGATAAACTGCAAACTGAATTTTTTCGATTACTGTTATGATTACTCATTGCATTTGACTGATGATTAACTGGATCAAAAATAGTTTTCTTTTCTTGTTTTGCATCATTTCTAAAATCCCACAAACAAACTTTTCCAGTAGAATAGCTGAAAATATTTTAATAAAGTATTTTTAAAATAAAATTCAAACATTAACTATTATATTCAGATATATAATTATTTTATATGTCATGTAATTATTGTAATTTCCTGCAAATAATCTACTGATTATCTGTGTATGAAAGTCAATTTGAAAATGGATGTGGTTATACACTGCTGCACATTATTTTAAAATTGCATTTATGAACTCATTCAACAGCTTTTCATTTTTCTAATTTACCAAAAACATCTTTAAAAATACAAAAATGCCTCTCATCTGCCATTATGTTTCTTTTTTAAATTAAAAAATAAAAATCATTAAAAATAAACTAAAATTTTTAAAATAAAGACATTACTTTTATATTTTAAAACAATGATTATTTTTAATATTAATTTAATTATTAATTCTACTCTAGGGGATTTGACAAAAGTTTTCCTTTATTAAGGAAATCCAAAAGATGGTAGTTTGAGAAACACTGGAGTATTGCATTTGTCAGGATATTTTGCACCCGAAGGTGTGCAGTTTTTGACTTTTCAAAAATTTATATTAATTTAATTTTTCTCTTATAAATTACAACAACATTATTATAATAAATTAACCATAGTAGAATATAAAAACTGTTGAAACGTTAATATAATAAGTGATTTACCTATAGTTACATTCAGGAAAGTACATATAAATAAGAATTCTGGCAATATAGAAACAAATTAATATTCCAAAAGTTTCATTCCTTAAACATGTAATGTTAATTTTTGATGTAAATCAAAAAATTAACAAACAAAATTTGTCTATTATTTGCATTTCTACTGTACAAGTAACTTTCATTTATGTTGATAAATTAATTCTTTATACTTGACATAAATAAGATAAAGTTAAATCAAATTTGTAACAGAGAATTATATATATTGTATGGAAAAATTTCTTTAAGGAATCAGCTGAAAGTTACTTGTACAATGGAAATGCAAATAATACACAAATATTATTCACTAATTTTTCATTGCTAAAGTCAGAGATTAACTTCCTACATGGTTTCTTAAAACTTGCACAAATGCACAAACTTAGTCTTATTACATATTTAATATATACATTTTATTAGTCTTACTAACATTAAAATTAACACACTATTTAATTTTTGCTTGTGCAATAAGATCAATAAATATTAGAATAGTTGTAAGCTTCTTGCCTCACTTAGGCTCCATTGCAAAGTATTAACTGTTACGGTGTAATCGTGTAACCACGTATTTTAAGTTTCAATAATGCTAGCAATTCTAAAATTAACAATTCTAGCTAATTAAAAATTTTAGTCAAAGTTGACTTTTTAAAAATAAAATAATTTATTTGAAATAAAGTTCAATTAAAAACAGATAAATAGGATTAGTAAACCTTTTCTACAAGTTAAATATTTTTTAAAATTAATTTGCACATTTATGATTTTTTATGTTGAATTTTCATATGATGTTTCATGTTTATCACACAATCTTTAAACAGTTATCTGGATGATAACCGTATACCCAATACCCAGATATAGAAATTGATATCCAATATTTAGCAATAATTCTAACAATTTTCTGTGAGTATATGATAGTGAAGGTTATATACAGGAAATAAAAAAATAAATAAATAAAGATTTACTAAATTATTTACCCAGCAACAATATATTCCTGGAAGGAATGAACAGCAGACAATATTCCAGATCTAACATCTTCCATTTCATAAAGTCTTCCAATTCTATTCTGAGAAAATGTAGAAAAATCAATCTTTGTTTATATAATCATTAAGAATTTAAAAATTTTACTTGAAAAATAAATGCTATTACAGTGGAACATAGTTAACACAAATTCACTTTTATTAAATGCATGTGTTTTTCCTGTTACTTTAATATAGGAATTCACAAGTTAATTTGATTAATATGAAATTGGGGAATTTTTTAACTCAACTTGGAAATTTTTCCTGTAAATTTTTTGTGTACTTACTGAATAATGCACATATATATTCTACACTGTAATGTTATATTATGAGATCAAATAACACCAATGTATATAATTTTACATCAATCTGAAATAATTAAAGATTAAGTATTTCTGCAATAAATCTCTATCTTTCTGATATTTATGTTGAGAAGAGTACTTTTCTATTATTTTGTGAAAAACTTTGGTTATTTTTTTATTGATATAATAAAATTTATTTTTGAAATTTGCAAATTGTACTTTTGATGTGACTTTGATAATTACTAAGAAAATTTTTTAAATGCAGAATTTCTCTAAAATCTGAAATTATCAAAAATAATTAAGATAAATTTATAAATCTAATTTTGAAAAACAATTAAATTATATAAAAATATTTTTAAAAATTTATAATTTTAAAATTTCAAAAATTATACCTTCCAATTGCTTCGAATCTTTTTCTCTGCTTGAATGGCATGTGTTACTTCTTTTTTCCATTTGCTTACTTCAGATGTTAATCCTTTCTGAAAACCAAGTTCACATGATATATTGTACCATAAAAGTTCATCTTCTGCAAGACTTTTCCAACTTCGACTGACCTATTTTCAATAATATATTTTTAATATATATAATATAATACTGTGATGTAAATATTGATGATTTATTTCTATTAAAGTGTTGTTAAATCAAAGTTGTGTTATTCCAAATCAGAGAAAACAAGCATCCTAGATCAGAAAATTCCCAACCTTTTCCAATCCACATATCTCAGTCACAGAAATTGAAAATTTCATGTACCCATACATCAATAAATTAAAATGAAAGTATGTTGTCAGTTTTCAATCACTGCTCCACAATCATCGACTTTTAATTATTAATTTGCAATTTAAAATACTACCACACTTATTTAGTAATACAGATAAGAAGTTAGTCAATAGAAAAGAAAGATTATACTAAAATAACTGAATTAAAAGTCTGAATAAGAGAATTCAGACTCTTAATAGATCCTTTAGTTATCAGCATAAATTTTGCTGAAGAGAACAAATCACATAAGGAACATCAGTAATTGACTATTCCAACTTTATTGCACCAGGAAAAGCCTCTTCTTAGTCTTTTATTACAGGTCTTTGACTATTTATTAAAATTATATTAGTGACCACTAAATGAATCAACTAAGTGTTCATAAGCTGATAAATAAAATTGAAATTAAAATAAAGTTTATCAATATTTTATTAAATCAAATTATTTTATCAAAACCTTGTATATTATTAATTATAAAATAGCAAAACCTTAATTTTGAGGGCATAAATTAATTTTACATGAAAAAAAGTTGTAAATGCTAATAAGGAATAAAATCTTCATTAAGTCTTACTATACCTGAGATATGATGTGACCCCCCTCTATCTCCCTACCTTCTTGACTTTCAACTACCAAAATTTAATAGCATCAATTCTTCTAATACACAAACCTCCCTGCAAAATTTTAGAAATTTTTGACAAAAGATACAGGAGTTATTAAGCTCCAAAGAGGTTGAACAAAAATGTGTTCCTCTCACACACACACACTCAACCATCCAAGCATATAGAAAAAACTCTCAAATTTTATTGCATTTCTCAATTCTCAATATTTCAACGTCCCAAGTCCAAAAAGTTCCTGGGAATCATTTTTTGACTAATGACCATATTTTTCATCTGTTATATATAACAACCAGGAAAGTAAAAATAAACATTTTGTCAAAGCTACAGCCCTTCTCTTTGTGCACTAGTGGTCAGCATAATGCTGTCCTTTGTCTCAAACCAGAAAAAGTGGATGATTGTTGCAGACATCTGAGCCAGCCAACACCCAGGAGAGAGATATGTTCAAAGTGACAGTCCATACGTAAGATAATGACTTCAAAGTAGACCAAAAGTAGTTTCCATGCCCAGAACTATGTGAAATCAAGGAAGGAAAGGAATCTTTTGCTTGATGTTGGACAAAAAATGACTGAAGAGAAAGATGTATAAGAACTAGGAAATAAAGATTTTAGGGTTGACTATGGACAGAAGACGGAGAGAAAGAGAGGCTAAGCGGTTTCATCAGATGATAATTGAAGAAACAGAGGTAAAAGACTTGTGACAAGAAAAAAGAAGAGAAAGGTATATGGGACCAGACTCGAAGATTTTTCTTGGCTCATTTTATTTTTTTTAGGATGCTTGGTTCATTTTATTCTTTTTGAAATGTTCTTAAAATATTAAAATATCTAGCTTTTAGAAATCAAAAGATAAGGTAAATTACTTGAATATTTAATGTAAAATTAAATTAGTAGAATTAATATTTAAATTAGTCCCAAAATTAAATAAAAATATAATTACTAATGGTTATTTTACCTGTGCACAGCGACATAGATCTACAACATCAAGATGAAAGAATATTTTCAGAGCAATTTCTCGAGGCAATGAAATATCAAAAAATGGAATTTCATTGATTTCATCCTTAAAATATAAAAATATAAAATGAATTAATACCATCTATTTAAGACATATTACCATAATTATATAATTAAAACAATTCACTTTTCAACTTCTGTACAGAAAAATATCATCAGTTGTATTTAAAAAAGAAGTAAACAAATTATTTTTTAATATATTTTCAAAACAATCATAATACATTTATTCTTTGTAAAATAAGGCTGGCGGAAATACAGTATTAACATTTTACGAAGAATAATTTTATTTTAATTGTGAAGAGATTGTCACCTGTGGACATTTTAGACTGTTTTACATAATTTGGCAGAGGTGTAGCCTCTAAAGAAAGGTCGTCTCTGCTGTGGAGATGGCAAGTAAAGAAGATATTTTTATTATCTGTTTACGTGTTTTTACAATGTTAATAAATCATAATACACTAATTAATTATTATATTTTCCCTACATAGATAAAATGCTAATACAACATATACTTATACAAATATATACAACTTTATATGAGTTTATCAATATTTTCATATAAATTTTATTCAGTATGGATAAGATTTAAGTTTTATCTCAAAATTTTAATATTAATTATGAATTAAACTTCCTTAAAAGTTCCCATTTCCCAGAATACTGAGAGAATAAGAATTGTTCCTATTAATTATCATCAATGCAATGAACTCAAAAAATTATAAAATCATCAATAAATCAATTTAACACATTTTTTGAACATTAGCTAGATTTACAGTGCTAACTCATTCAGATAAACCATGCTGAACTGACTAGAACAGGCAATAATCAGAAGGTAGGAATAGCTGGTGAATATATCAAAAGTGGTAACACTTCCTAGTCCTAATCTAGAAGTTTTTTTAATTTATTGCTGTCATGACATGAGGTCATACATTGTTGTGCTGGAGAATGATCTGCCATTGGTTTAATATATATTTCAACTGCATCTCTCTCAAAACTTGTGCTAATTATATAATATGCTTCTGTGCTCCAAAGAAGAAGAACATCACTATGGATGATAATCAAGAAAAAAAAATCTAATTATATAATGTTGGATAATCAGAAAAATTATTTTATATGAAAATATATTATAGAAGTTTATTTAAAAATGCATTATTATTACTGTTATACAAATAATCTACATTCAAATTTGAACTATTTACACTAAATATCACAACACATACAATATACATATACAAAATAAAATATAAATTTATATACATACTGTATATATTTATTTGTGTATGTCTATAAATGCATGCATGTATACATACATATAACTCCATATCATATCATTTTTTACAAACAACAAACTGCACATAACTCCATTATGTCTAGATACTGCTACATTTGCCTAGTAAGACACCATCTTTCAAACCAAAACCAAAACCAAACAAAATAAAAACTTCATCAGATCTCAACATAACAAGCATTCATATAGTGTTTTGAAAATAATACCAACAACAAACAAATTATAATATAAAACAATTACGAAATATACTAACTTCTAATTGCAAAGATGTAGACTTGAAGCCATTTTCACAATATATAGTTTTTTAAACAGCTCTAATTTACAGATTATATGATTAACCAATCATATTAATGATTTTTTTCACTTTCTTTAACTCTATAATAATGCCTGAACATGCTGTCATCTCTTAAAAATAAAACATCTATTTTTAATGATTTTAATTTTGCAACTGTTTGAATATCCTACATGTAGGATATTCAAACAGGATGCTAGGCATATTATTTGGCTAATTCTGATAATAATTACAAAAATATTTTAAAAATTTCATAGAATAAATCAACTTATTTATAAAAGCAATATAATTTTATTTATTTAAGATATTTTTCATAATCATAGAAATGTTATGAAGTAATTAATCGCTTAAATTGAATATGTGAGTGCTAAGTTTTGGTCGTACGGAGAAACATATCACACAGTATTGATGCAGCAGGAGAAATCAAAGATAGACAAATTGGTTATTTATTGCAAAAATGGATGCATTTCAGAGTTTATCTGTCCCTCTTCAGCCATGATTGTTACAAATTATGACTTACAGGCATTTAATGAACATATGCTGTTTGTTAACAAACATACTTGCTTCCTTTTGAATTCTTACAGATATTTATTTGTATACTATATAATCATCATCAGAGATTATAATTGTTGAATTAAAGATAAAGTAATTAATGTATCTTACAAACTGTCAAGTCACACATTTAACGCTTTCTACTACTTAACTCCAAACTTACTTAGGTAGTAGAAAACATCAGATATGTGTCTTGACAGTTTGTAAGATACATTAATTACTTAATTCATGAGAGTCATATTTTATATTCATCCCGGTGTGCCGTGTAGTTATGTATTCATCAAGCAACAATTATAATCTCTGATAATGTTTATACAGTATATAAATAAATATCTGTAAGAATCCAAAAGGAAGGCAACCATGTTTGTTAACTCGGCACTCCTCACGTTGGGATTTTTAACACTGTTAGTTAAGGGTGAGCACTGTGCTCATCTGATATATTTTTGTATTCTTAATGATTTGTCTTGAGAAAATTTACTTAGAAGAGGAAGTTTTGTTATGAATAATACACATTTTAAAGTTTGCCTTACTTTAATTAGAATACATTAAAAGTAATCTCAATATAGAAACAGAAATTGATATCTGATTAGCTCAATCAGATCAATAAAAATAGAAATACGATATTTGAAATTATTGATAAATATAATTATAATTTCTATTAAAATTCTGAATCTGTTTAGCTAGATTTTTAAAATGGCATTATTTGTAGATTGTTATGTGGTATCTGCAGATCAGTGCTGTAGACATGTTACACTCTTGGATGCTGTTTTCCTATTCTTCTTTTTTAGGCAATATGCACACTTTTCTCTTGATACCGATGTTGCATGCAGAGGATCTGGTTTCTTTCTCAACACTTCCAGGATTTTCATATGGAGATCCTCACTCTCATTGTCTGCGAGGAAGAAACCTGCATTTTCTTCCTCAGACTCCTCATTAAGCCATTTCAGAAAAATTTTATCATGTTTTATGACACTTTGTATATACAATATCACTTCACAATTAGAATTGTACCACTTAAAATGCAAAAAAAAGAAAACAGGCAAATTCATGGATGAGCACTGTGCTAACTTGTCCAACACAACCGAAACAAAGGCGGCACCGAAAGCATTAGCGAGGACTAATATTTCCAATTCTGGTATCTTGTTGAAGGGGATATTCAGGAAGGAAGGTAGACGAGACTTTGGCCATAGAACTTCCAAGAAACCCAAGTTAAAAGTGTTTTAAATCAAAAGACAAGCGCAGCACTCACCTTCGAGTAACAGCAGGTTAAATGCCTGTAACTCTCAATTTGTAACAGGCACGGCTGAAGAAGGACAGACAGACTGTCCGAAATGGTATGGTTTCCACAATAAATAACTAGTGTTCATCTATCTTTGTGTGATTTCTCCTGCTGCATCAATTGTGTGTGATAAGTCTTCCGTAGAGCCAAAACTTAGCTCTGAAATATTCTATTATTGTGATATAAGGACAAAAAACACATCACCAACCACTTACAAGATCTTTGATCAAAGTATCAACAAGTGTCTTCGCTTTCTTCATGGGACAATCTGATATTATTTCATGGCAATTTTCTCGTTTACCGGTTTGATAAATGTCGTCATCAGACAAATGTTCTCCTCGTAACAGACAATGAGCTAATTGAAATGCTCGAGATTCATATTTGGACTTCTCAAAGCACTGCAAATTATTTTGACGAACGTTTTCTTCTTTGGGAGCTTTGAAAACGTCGGAACGGTTTTCTAATTCGCGTAACCATTCTTCTCGAAACTTATTCAAATCATTCATAATTATATTTATATTAAGTAAATATAAAATCTATATTTAGTGGAGGCCGCCATTTTGGTATCGTACTCTCTTGCTCATCTCATTACTACCACTTTTTATTCTAATCGTCAAAATAAAATAAGTAAATTTGTTTATATAATTAATAAATATAGAGTAAAAATAATTATTTTGTGTTCTTATTAATTTATTTATCATTAATTATCTTTTCAAAAAGTTATAACTGGAAACGAGATTATTAACTCTCTGATTAATAGTAATTCAAACACAAATAATTATCGTATTTATCTTCAGGCACTTGGCAATATTTATCATCAAGTTTTATTCAGTTGAAACTGAATAAAACTTGATGATAAATATAATAACTACAAGCACGGTTTCAAAAGTACCAGATTCTCTGATTAATGTTGCCACACTAATCGCAAAATGTAAATCCGTCCGATAAAAACTGAAAAAAAAATCCGTGATTCAGAAAAATCGCTATTTAAAAAAGAAAAAACTCTTTCCGCCCTTCAGGTACTAAGAGTTCTTCATTTTAGCAAACCTATTTATTATGGGTTCGGCCGGGCCCACAATGGTGCGGCCCAAGGACTCCGGCTTATCTCACAGAGTGATGCAATAAAAAAAGTTTGCAGAACTGAAAGTAAGAAAAAAAGTATATTGTGATTTTAGCGCAGTTGATGTTATCTTGTTTTATTTTGAAAATAATGGCATTTTGATTGTTTAATAGCATTTAAAAATGTAAAAAATTATATGGGTAACAATTTGTGGCTAGGTACAGATATTTCTTAATTAATTTCTACTGTTTTCTACTCTTTGATTATCAATGTTATGTTATATGTTCCTTTCTAAATATATGCTTTTATTAAAATTTAAATAAAATGATTTGATTTTTATTGAAAATAAAAAATATGTACCTTTATTTAAATATATATATTCTTAAGGTGCGGCAATTTGTCTTTTTGTCCGAAGCGACGTAACCGCTAGAGCAGGCCCTGTCTGAAAGTTTACACTTATTCGCGGCCAGAAAGTTTTACAATTATTTCATTGGTTACCTGGAGATGTCGTGTAAGACCCTTTTCTTGAATGAAAGACTTCTCATGTCATTCATAATCCAAAATCGTTGCACCAAAATAAGGACGAAACTTAATCAGAAAGCTAATTATAGCTTGTATCTACAAGTACGGCTTTACCGGCACATAATTAAAAGCGCGGTAAAGAGGTAATCTTTACCTTACATACAGAATCAGTAGACTGATGAGGATTGTCACGATTCCTTTCACACTCTGTTCCTAAGGGAACTATGAGGTGATACTTTCACTTTTGAAAGAACAAAGTCACTTCTCAAATGACTCACAGGAAGTGTAAAGATGACAAGAAAAATAAACTTTCTATCTTTTTACAGCTTTAAAATATTCTAAAATATTGACTAAAAATCATAAAAATGTTCCCTATCAAACTCTCAGTTCTCACTTCAATATTCATAGCTTTTTTTAAATAAATCTTCATTGATGTTTCTGAAAGCAAGAACCAAGGTTTTATGTACTAATGATATAAAATATTGAATGATTATATCAGGTAAGTTCTTAAGTACCTGTGAATCGGAAATCTCGCCTAAAGTACAGCAAAAACAACAGAATTTATAGAATTCTGTCAATTTTCTTTTTCTTAGTTGGATTCTGGTCTTGAAACTGTGAGTTTTCTTTCTTTCTTTATCTTGTGGAGAGGCACTTTAATTCAATTTAACCATACTGGCCCCTTTTCAAGACAAAATGAGAAATTTTGTCTTAGCATTGTGACTTAGTCACAATGCCACAAGTTAATTTTTAATCATATTTATAATTTATTTAATTTAAAATATACGTTCTCCATCTAAAATTAGTAGTGGCTTTCCCCTGTAAATCATACTTTTCCTTCAACGCCGGTCATCTATTAATTGGCACCAAACGTTCGTATATAGTTCATTGTGCATCCGGTGCCTACAGTTTCCATACCTCCTCTCGAATTCCATCTATATAACTCAGTTCTCTCGATTAAGTAAAGACAGGAAATGGACAAACGACAGTAAAAATTTATAGGTCTACATTAACAGTGATTGCTTCATAAATATAATATGAAAATGTAATTTGTATAAATTTCTAATAGTGTAAAGTGCAAACATATTTATGCAAAGCAGAGAAATCTATGAAAGTTTATGTATAAACCAAGAGATCAGCAAATAACTTATTTTTGTTTTTAAGTATCGGCTAAATTTATAACAAATGATTATAACTGATTAATAGTCATTTTCTAACATAACTAGACAAACACAAAATGCTGTATTTTCTTAAATACGCATTTACAATAATTTTAGAAAATAAGTTATTAGGATAAAAACAATACTTTAAAAAGTACATAATGAATCTCTAAGCTATTATAAGTGCAAAACAACTGTTGTTTATTGTTTAATCATGACGATTAAAGCGATCATCGGTTGTCTTGCACACTCCTATGTCATTAAGAACGTATGAATCTTTTTCTTCGTCAATTTACTGTTTATTCGCGCTTCCTGGAGATACAACAGTACTACTTCCGGAGATGTCGGCTCCTACAGACAACCTAAACAGTTCCTTCAGTGGAGCCATCTAAGTGCAACATGTTCTAATAGAATCTAATCTTACAGGGAAATAAAAGCGACAATTACAAATTTTTATATTAATTCCGAAATATTAAAGTTTTCATTTTGAGGAAGGACTGACAGGCAGACGACAGTGGGCATTTATAGATCTACAATGGGTTTAACAATATACAAACAACAGTTCCAAAAGATTCTACCATTGCTCAATTTAAATTAAATACAATTTAGTTTATTATCGTCTTCGAACGTCCTAACTCTAACAAAATGGATTACACCTTGTCTCTGTGGGCATGAGTGAAAGACTACGGACAAAAATCAAAATGGTCCGTTTCTATAGAAAGACACTTCGAAATCGAAATTCTGTCAAAATATCGATATTTTTAGCATTAAACTGAGACGTAACGCAACAATAGAATTTCGACAATTGTCTGTTGCTTTGTTCGAATGCAATTGTTTCGAGCGTTTTCTGAGAGTTTTGCTGCAGTTTTTGCGATACTTTTAAGTAAGTTTAGTCCCTGATCGTTCTAGATTTAGGTATTTTTTAACATTGTTAGGTACTAAATCACAATTAACAGCGATAATTTTCCGAAAACGAATATTCCATTACAACTTTATATTCATTTTTGTTTAGAATTTTTCTTATATTTAAAACGATCATTTTCTATAATTTTCTGTCGTATTTATATTAAAATTTTTTAATATTCTCTTAATTTAACGTTCGTTCTACAATATTTAATACTCGGTATTTATTGTTTGCAGGATGGATAATTTTAAAGCTCTAAAGAATTGGAATACCTCTGGAGGACAGAGTGCGGAGGAAAGCTCCTCGACATCAGGAACGTCCTCCTCTTCGATTCGAGTGATTCGCGTGCGTCCGAAAGAAGTGCTGGAGGGTGCGAAGGAACCCGACAAGAAACGGGTGATTGTCACCATTCCCGATGAGAGCACCTCGTCTGTCATCGACTACCTGGAACAGAGATATCCAGAAGTTCCGGAATGGTCGGTGCAGAGAGAGGCACGCGAGGAAGGAGTCGAAGGGGAGTGTAAATCGATCCTGAAAAAGAGGAAAAAGAAGCCTTGGTGGAAGAAGATTTTCTTCTTCTGGAAGAAATAAATCTCCGAGGTCTTCTTATTAAATGTGACTTTTATTTTCGATTGTGACATTTTTACCCGGATGTGACTTTTATTCCCGATTGTGACATTTTTACCCGGATGTGGACTTTTACCTGGCTTTGACCTAATGACCGGATGTGACTTTTAATGGCGGTTTGGCGTCTTCCCTTG